AAAAATATTTTCTTTCTTTTTAATTGTTTTCCCAACAAAACAATTAATCTGGTTTGATGAGAACTAATGTTTTATAGGAGGATGGTAACTGGACATAGTAGGAAGCAGCCAGTGCTCTGTGCGTGTGGTCTTTTCTAGTGCAAATTGCTTTCAACATGTTCAAGCCAAAATAGTTGTTCTGATAATAAACTGGATATTTCCATTTCCACTCTTTATTTAGATATGTTTTTTTATATTTTGCTGAACATAAAAATAAAGTGCAGTGCTGAACTTGCTCTTGTTTTGCAGGAAGTCATAGACCACTTAAAATTCCTCATAAAGCTGCTTTAATAGTTTGCTAATCTTGCCTATTGACTGAGAACATTGGCTGAGTTCTCTTGTTGCTTATTTTCGGTAGCATAGAGAAAAAACAACCATTCCTCCATTATTCTGTGCACTGTGATTAACGGAAAGCAGGTGCTTGTTAACGATGCTCTTACAGGTGAATTCCCATATTGCTCTCGTCCCATTCTGTGGGATGCTGCTGGCTGTGGGAGTGTTGTTCAAACCAGTCTTTTGGTCAGATTTTCATAGTTTCATGATTTATTTTGGTGCCTGCATGGCTGGTACCTGCCTTATTGGTAGCACTAACAATGCAGACTCGTTCCCTTTGAAACTCACAACCAAAATAACATCCATGCTGTTTAAAAGTGGTTTGGAAAGATTATTTTTGTTGAGGTACAATAACTGTGTCTGCTTCCTTGTGTACCGATTAATTGCCTCAGATTTACCTATCCATGTGCCTTTGGCTGCGATGCTTTGGGAAGCTTAAATACTGATAGGCCTTATCGCTTTGAAACTTATTGCCATGTAATATTCTCATAATACCACTCACAAAGTGCTTGCTTCCTGCCTGCGTGCTTTGTCATCAGCTTTATTGCGTAGTGTGTTCTCTGCTGCTGCACTTGGAGTTATAGGGGTGGCTCATAAAATAAATTGCAAATCTACAATCTAAGCAGCTCGGCTGCAGAAACGTAGTCCTGATTGAGGCGCCTGGGGTCACCAAGTCCAGCCCCTTGTCTTCAGTGTGCATGTCTCATCCTTTTAACCCCGAATAAGTTACGCAGATGAAGCTTGCCTAATAATTTGACTTCCTATTTTGTAGCTCTGACTATTTTAAGTTATTTCATGGGGACATTCTGAACAGAAATCAGAAGGCCGAGAAGCACTGAGAGCTCTACAATGCTGTCGATATGCAAATGCTGTGGCCTGATGTAGGTGTCCAAAGCACAGCAGTTTTGAGTCACTTTCCGGGTAACGCTGGCTAGAAAGGACCTTAAACTTGGTATTGTTAAGGCTAGATTTGTGGTCTGAATGAAAATACTGATCTCTGAACTAAAAAGCTGTGAAGCAGGGCCTCTATTCAGCCAGGTACATGAGTATCCTCTACAATAGAAGAAGCAGGCAAGCAAACAGGTCCTGTACTGTATGGTAAGTCTGCCTTAAATAAAAACAAGGCAGACTTTTCCAATAAAGGAGATTATTTGGAAGCCACTTATTTTTATTATGCTTAGGAGTTCCTGTAACTACACTGATCCTAGGGAGGAAACCTCAATTTTCCAACAAGGGGCTTTTTCTGGTGTGGCTTTGGGTCACCAGTGGTGAATCAGTTCAGGGGTTGTGCAAGGGAAGACTTTTTGTCATGGTTCTCCCCCTGTCATTTCACATTAATGGTTTTATGTCCCCTTCTTTTTATTCCTCATGTGTTACCCTTCTCTGGTGTTTTTTTCCTGTGTTTGCTGCCTTTTTCTCCTCTCACTCCTCCGAGGAGGGGGTAATTGTAGGAGTGAGCACAGAACACCTGAATCTATGCAGCGAGTGGCAATTGCTCCCTTTTCAAGTTTTCCATTGAACTCTTAATATCTGAAGGGGACTTTAAGCACAATTATTTTGTGCTTCCAGCCAGGCTCTGCAATTGCTCCGCTTCATGTCCGTGCACATAAGTCACTTAAGAGATCTGAGCTTAAGGTTGCCCAGGAAAAGTCTCCAGAGCAATAGAGCAAAGGTGCAACACTGCATGTTTCATGAGAGCATTTATACTTTATTGGAAATACAGGAAACAAAAGCTGCTGTGAGCGATGATGGGTCTGGGAGTTTTACAAAGCAGCACCAGTTACTCATCGGTTTGCGTTTGCAGAAGTAGGGGCGCCAGGCTGGGAGGTGGATGGTGGGAGTCCGAGCGAAGGCACCGCTGGACGCTGGTGCTTCCCGAGGCCATTCGGGGCAGCGCTGGGTTTGCGGCCTGCAGCAGTCGTTCAGGTTGAGCTTGTGCCTGACTGGAGCAGCCAAGTTGAAGGATGGGGTCGCCGGGTGAGTTTGTGGAGTGTGGGGCCACGCTTGCCTTGGCAAGTTGCCTTCAGCATTTGGTTGTGTCTGTGTGTGTTGTTTTTTTTGCCTTTTATTTCCACTTCTTCCAAGTCAGGTAACAAAATTAAAAAATAGTATGATCAAGGAGGGGGAAAGAAAAGGGGGGCAGGGAACAAAGCAAATCAGTCTGGTAAATGTTTCCTTGTTTGTTTGTTTTCTCGGGGGAAAAGTCTAACAAGTGAGCACAAGACCTTTCAAGTGTGCTTTTAATGTCCAGCCAGTTGGTTCTGTAGCTCATTCCTGTCTGAAACCCCTCGCGTTGCACAAGCTCTGCGTGTTGGAGCCAGCAGGGCTGCGGGGCAGCTGTTTGAGTTCTATAGTAAGTGCAGACAAAATTTCAGTTGGAAACTTTGCAGCCAAATACCCCCCAGCCTGTGCCAAAAGAGGATTCGTCCTGAAGAAGTAAAAAATGGAAACTTGGAAGAGCGAAATGGGAAGCAGAGATAGGGAGTGAAATCTCTGCCCGTGTGCATGTGGAGAGCTGCTGGGAGAGAGGAGCGTTTTGAACGCTCAAATGATACTGGCTGTGGCTTTCAGGTGACAGATAAGCACAGGAGGAATAATCCAACTATAGAAATAGCACCTTGAGTTCTGCTCTGATAGTGAAATAAAAGGCTATGTCTGTATTTACTGTTGCTAATGGTCAGAAACCACCATTTAAGAGTATAGATCAAGTAACTTATACAATGTTTTTAAGAAAATGGGAAATTTACAGTTTTGTTAACTTTATACGAGCGCTATTTTTTTAATGGAGGTTCATTTTCTCATTTCCTTGTGGAAATAATACTTTCCTTTTGGATCTTAAACTGTGGGGAGTAGACCAACAAAACAGTAAAAAGTTACAATTGGTGTTACAGTTGCACAGAATATTTAGCAAAAATCTTTGTGTTTGACAGTTTTATTTTTAATCTTTCAGACTTTTAAAAATGTATTTGCAAAACTTTATATGCAGACTGCAAAGCTGGAGTTGAGCAGGCATGAAGGGCAACATACTCTTACACCCTGGAAAGAGCATTCTGCAGTATAGAAGTTCAATATGCCTATGTATTTGTTGTTTTTTGTTTGTTTTTTTCCTTCAAAGCGACCAAATTTTGGAATGCTCACCTTGGCAGGAATTTGTACAACCATTTAGGCTAAATAGGAGTGGAAAAATGTTTCCAAACAGCGTGTTTTATTGCTGTGTTGGCGATGTGATATTAAATCTGTTTTCTTGTAGGTATCTTTGTTTTCCTGTCTTTCCATGTTTCCATGCTCCTACTCTGTTAGACACAGTTGCATTCACCTTTTTAATTGGGATGAATAAAATATGTGGTTTGGTCATTCTGTCTGGCGCTCAGCTGACCATAAAGCTTCTATGTGCATGAAATACTGATCAATACAGCAATGTGTGCAGCGTGAGTTCTACCTTGTGTTTGCCCATTTGATTTATTACTTCCAAAGAATTTCATTACCTTAGTATCAAATGAAAACCATAAAGATGGACTTCAGCATTAAAAACAATTTCTAAAAATCTGCCAATATCTGTTTTAATTTTGCTGTTCTGTATATGATAGAAAATATTATTAGGAAAAAAAGCTCTTGGATTCTGCTTCTTGGAGGATACTACTTTGACAGTCTGTTAAATGGTGCCACTGTTGAATAACGCAGTAAGAAAATGATTATTTGGTTGAATTGTGGTCTTTTTTTAAGCTGCTGCGTCAAAATGTAGAACACACTGGTCAATTTTGGACAGAACCAATTCCTTCAAGCTTTTCATGGTATCTGTATGCCTGTTAGTTGCTTCTATGAAGTGACTGATTGACAAGTTCTCCCTTTTCCCTTTTTTTTTTTTTTTTTCTTTCAAGTAGGGCATTTTAACCTGGGCCTCATCCATAAAACATCCCTCAAGTAAGACATTGAGCTGCCCTAGTTCAGTGAGTTTTATTTGGGATTTTTGGCTTGCTTTAATTTTTGTGGGCATTGCTCTCAGCTTATTTTGATGAAGTGGTGCTGCAGGCACCATTGACTTCTAAAGGTGAATGGGACCAGATGTGACTCTCTCCTACCCCCAGCCCAATGGAAGAAGCTCCCCAGACTTTCAAACCAACATCATCTGTATTCATTGGAATTGGAGCTTTTTATTGCCCTTTTGGTTTATGGCAATCTATTGATGTCCTTAACTAAGGAAGTATACCAGTTAATAATGGTGTTGTGGTTGTACATAACCCCAAGCAGCTGGTATCAAAGTCTTCAGCATTTCCCTGGCTGATATTACTAACGCTACAAGATCAGGTTTTTTTTTTTAGGACCGTTATAGGAAAGATGTCTTTGCCCTGTTTTAAAACCAACAACCCCCAACTTGATTTTTAGAAGATATTCCCTCATGCATTGGATCACATGCATTATTTTTTAGGTTAGCATTACAAATTTTGTAGGTCTTGTCTGCTTGCCCTCAAATACAGTTAAAAGAAACACTTGAGAACAATGGTTGCCTGATATGTGTATAGAGAGGACTTGCTGTGCCAGAAAGGATCATGATCTTCAGGTTGCATTGCCTTTTTTTTTTTTTTTTGTACTTAAATTTATACAATAATCAGAACTGTATTTGAAGAGCAGTAGAAGCTGAAGTTCTTCATTCCTGAGCTGAAAGTTGTACCACTTGAAGGTCTTTCCATTCTCTTCTGTCCAAATGTTCAGTGGAAATGCCTGATGGCAAGTTCATTATAACAAACAGTAATAAGATGCCAAGGGTTTGGGTTATTTATACCGGTGTAAAGGGCTTAGGGGATTCTCCTCCACTAAACTTGTGCGTGGGTGTTGTGAGAGCCTGGCAGGTTTACCTTCAGTTGCATCATATGCATTGCTTGTCGGTGCTGTGTAGGGTAATTAAAGACGTATGGCTTTCTCTTGGCTACAGAGCATGGATGATATTGGGATTTAAGGACTCCTGCCCTTACTGTTCAATCTTAAGCCCCTTAGGAGACTTCACTCAAAATCTGCATTAAGGGTGATGACCTGGTTTCTGATGGCAAATAGGTGTTGGACCCTCTAGCTGCCATATTGCCTTGGAGAGGTGATGTTCTTGACTGCTCTGGATTAATTTTCTCCGTTGTTTCTGGCTGAATTAAGTGGCTCTTGGTTTTGGGTTTTTGTTGGGATTGGTTATTGGGGTGTCAGAATCTGCTGGGGAAGGGAGTGCAGATAGACCTCTATAAATCAGTCCCTTACAGCCTGGGAGTTTGAAGCATCCAACTCTCTGTGGTAACAGGATGTAGCGTACAGGTAAACTGGGTTGGCCTTCCCGCCAAAGCAATGTCCTGATGGGGGATGGAGCAAGTTTTGATAAGGAAAGCTCACAAGTTGTGTGTACATTGTAATCACACTGACCAAGGGAAGTACTTGAACTGACTTTGACTGTTTTTTTTTTTACTGCCCGATCTGGAATATCAGTTGCCTCTACTGTGGTTAGGGAAGCCGTTGTGTGGAGACTATGGGAATACTTATGAGAGAAGAAAGTGGGGTAGGTGTGCTTTTTATTTTATTTTTATTTTTGTTACTTGGCTGAATAAGGAAGCAAGTCTTTGTCCAAAACTGGTGACCAACTTGCAACATTGCCAGAAGCAATTTTTCTGAAGATGACTTGGCAGGCCAGTCGATCTGGATAACGCGTTGGTTGAAGAAAAAAGGACGCTGAAGCAAACTATATTCCAAATGTGAATGAATAAAGGTTCTCATTTCCATCACTGCTCCCATGTAGTTTTCTGACTCTAGTTTGCTTTTTTGTGCTATCATTTGTATAACATGATGGGAGATTTTGCATGATTAAGTAGTAGTGACTTGGAATCACTTTTCTATTGAAAAAAGACCTGTGTTTACAAGCTATTTTCAGATTTCTTTTTTTAATTGTAGCACTCGAAGTTAGTGATATCCTTTGACTCCTGCTATTCCCTTTGGGGGCAACCCCAAGTCAAAGAAGTTCTGAGCTCCAGCTAGTCTTGGTGTGGTTCAGCCCCCAAATCCGGGGGATGCTGTGACAGGCTTCCTCAAAAGGTGGAGTGCCCTTAACTACACTCGCTGCATGCTGCACTGCTTGCAAGGCAGTGACATAGGGACTCAAGTTACTTATAAATGGCATTAAACAGAGGGGTCATGCTTTTGAGCTATTATTGACCACCTCAGACCAACACTTGGAACTCTGACTCACTCAGCTGGACGAAGGTTCAGGAGTATTTGGGAAACAAGGTCCCCAAAGGTGAGGCTGAGAGGAGAGATTTCCAAGAAATCCCAGCATGGTGGCTGTTGACACTTAACTCTCCAGCACACCAGACGATACGAGGCACGTAGCACTGGAAGCTGGATGTGCTAGTGGCTCTGGAAGTACGCCTGTGTTTGTTGGGACCCCATAAGCGGCTGGTTGGAGTTAGGACACTTGCTTCCCAGATGAACAGTGTGTGGCCGTGCTGACGTGTGTGTCAAGGCATCGGCTTCTGTTTAGTGCAGTATCTGATTCCAGTGCTGCCTCAGATCTGTGTGCGCTCCAAGGAATTTGCTTTGTCATGTGTCCAAGTTGGAGCCCTTGGCTGGAGGGGATCTTCTGTGGCCTGTAGGTTGTTACTGACCGCTTCGTTCCACGGTGAGATGCTTTGATTAAATCGTGTGTCTTGATTGGAAAAGCAGCAGGTTGTTCCTTTGCTAGTCCTCCAATTTGAAAACTGTTTCAGGAACTGTTTAGAATATAGCTGCTGGTACTAATTTCATCTTACTCATAGCTGGTTCATATCACTTGATGCAATGCCAAGGTTGTGCTTTTTTGGGTGTTTGTTTCCCTGCTGTATTTATAGATGGCAACACTCATCCCTGTCAACCTCCATTTTGAGATTAAAATGCCAAACTTGCAGCTTCCCAATATAAAGTGGGCTCTCTTGTCGCTTCAATTTCAGTTCCTTCAGTTTTTAGACAGATGTCTTTTACTGGTGACACTAATTCTTCTTTGTCCTCTTTGCCATTGCCCTCTCTGATATAGCCCAAGGTTGTGACTTTTCACAGTCTCATTGCAATGTTGGTCACTTAGGTATCAGGAGGGCCTTGTTCTCCTAGGCTTTCTCTTTGTCTCATTAAGTTTTAAATTTAAATTTTAAATTTTTCATTAAATTTTAAATTCAAATGATGTTGATGGACTGTATCCTACTGTATTTTGAAAAAAATTCTAATGGTCTGGACTGTTAATGGCAGATGTTTGAGGCAGATGTTTGAGGTTACTAGCGAAGGCACTGAAAAGTTTATTTTCAAAGTGAGTATGCTGGAATACAAGAGGAGATCCCAGAAAAGTAGTGAGTTATTGTGGTGTATAATTCAGTAATGAGCTTAAAAACAGTCCCTTTATAAGGGGATAGGAAGTGGTGTAATCTATAAAGCTAGGGTTTTGCAGATGCTGTAGAAACTACAGAATGGTTTGGAATTTGGAATTGTTACATTCTTTGGAGAACTACACAGCAGTCGTAGGGTACTGACAGCATGATGTCCCTGCAGAATTATGTGCATTTCATGTATTTTGAGCAAGGTTAGTGTTTTGCCCTTTCCTCTTTACCTTTTTATCCATAATGCGCAAGACCCTGTGAGTAGCATCAGTCAGGTGAGAGAGGAGATGAAGCTCCATCTAGTGTATGAAAGCACGAAACAGGCTGTCTGGAAGTTAGGAAAATGTGAAGAAATCCTAAAACTGGTAGTTTTCTATAGGCTAGATGTGTGGGGGTTTTTTGCCCCCCCCCCCTTTTTTTTTTTCTTTTCTTTTATTTGTTTGTTTTATAACTCATGAAGGGGATAATGCCACTTTATGCAAGTGGTAATTGAGCAACTTTTGCTTTTTGTGCTTTGATACCCTTTTTCTGTCAACAGCTGTTATGTATCATGGTACGTATAGAGATTAGCATTGTTTTTTAACTCCGTTATATGTAGTCAGCAATATCATTTTCAAGCAAAGCAAGAA